AGAGGGGTGAGGGGTGGGTGGATTATTCGGAGGGTGAAGATGAGAATTAGTAGTGGTGGGCACAACGTTCGTAAGGTTTGGGAGAGTGGGTGGGAAAACTAGTGGAGATGGCCGAGTGAGTCCGGGTGTCCTGGACATAAATAGTCGTGGTCAGCCGTTGGGGTACACCATCTCCTGTCTCTCTACCCCACCAAAACGTATTCCCTGTCCCTCCCACCCCGACATCACCTTCTTCCCACCTCTTCAACGATGCTGGACACACAATCAGGAAGTTTCTTGAGGAATGCGACCATACCACTGAAAATTTCTTAGGTGGTCGAATTAAACTCGTTCCGGGTCGTCTGGCTTGGACGTTAGGTTCCATGAACTCAAACTTCACGTTGGAAAGCTTCTGGGCTTTTCGGTTTAGCACAAATGTGTACGAATGAGGGAGGGGACAATGGCATGGTCAGCTTCACGTTGCCGTGACTCTAGGAATTGTGGCTACTGGTTGTAATAGATTTGACTTTCGGGAACAATGTCGACGTTTTGATATTTATGAGGCTGTGGGAGATAGATTGGAAAAATTGAGGTGGGCTTTGAGATTTTTCAGCTCAAATTCAAGACTTTCCAGTCAAATTAAGATCGCTGAATCTCAAATTAACTTAAGTCTCTGTGATTCAACATAAATTTTTTTCTCAAAGCCTCAAAAATATTGGATTGTCTAAAATTATGATTTTTCTAAGTCGTACTCTAAAATTTTGAGAATTCTTAAGTTTCTAGGTCAATGCGCTAGTTTAGTCCTTTTGTCAATGTTGTCGCAAGGTTACACCAATGTAACAAATTGAGGGTTTGAAAGTTGAGTGAATGCTTCGCGTAAAATATGGGGGAAATTTGAATAAGGAAGTTGTTCAAATCTGATGAAAAATTGTGATGCCAAGATTAAAAAAGATTGCGAGACTCGCGGGTAAACTAAATATGTAAATTCAAGGGTATAAAGAAAATAGACTCACCTCGTGATGTCGAGACTAAATCCTCTAATTACGTTGGAGAGAGAGAGAAAAAAAAGATCGTCTCGTAGGCCGCTATCGATTTAATCGTGAATATTATCGCCATTATCTTAAACACTGTAAAAAATATTCCAAGGCGGAATGAAGCGACAAGTAGCTATTTACGTGCACTCAAGCCCTCTAGGGGTTGGTATTTTTTTTTTTCTCTCTTCCCTTTCTTTTTAGGGGTGGTTTGCGCACCAATTCCACCACCTTTTGCTGGTTAATACGACACACTGGGGCAATCTTAAAAAACGGAGGGAGGGAATTCCGAGATAAGCTCTGGTGGCAATCCCACGAGGAAAAATCACCCCCCAAGAAATGACTTTCTGAAGTGTCTTTATAAGGTAAACTCGAATTTCTTTCATTAGGCGATAAATGAAGTCTCATCATTCCTTCATTTTTTTACGTCATAATGAATTCCCGCGATTAAGTTCAAGAAAAAATTTTCAAATTTACTGGACATTTTTAGTAACGCGTAATATTTTTACGCTGGGCTATTTAGGTGGGGGCGTGATTTATAATCGATTGAATAATTAAATAAATCACGCGTCATCTGAAATTGAGGGGGTAATGACCAATGATTCATCGGTTGTATATTTTTTTGGTGAAATCGCCGCAATATCCAACCGTCATCTGCTCAAAGTACTCAAACCGCAAAGACAAGTCTTTTTTTTTCCCGCAATTTTGGTGTCTGTGATAAGGAACGATAGAGGGGTAGGAAGGGGGTGATTGTGGGTGGGATGACCTGAGGGGGTTCTCACGGTCGTTGGCTATAATTTCATTAGCGAGACTTCTGAGACAAATGAGTGAGCATTGGTGAGACGAGAGGGCACCGGCTGGTTAGAAGATTCCTCTGTACCGTGTGCCGGAAATAAACGGATATACGAAAGAAAACGAGAATGACCCGTGAGGGCTGCACACCCCTTGGGAAACATTGGTACTCACCAAAATATCCCAGAAATATTTTGTGATAAAGTGCTTGTCTTCTGTTGTTAGTAGTAATGCAGTTTCTCCACCTCGAGAGATAATTGAAATGATTGAAAAAAATATTGAATGGGATTGCGAGATCTAAATTAGTTTTTCCGGAGTTGTGTTGTAGGGAAAAATATTTATTTTGGAGATTAGATATTTTTTGTGGATTATTTGAGTCAAATAAATTCATTTGTTTAAATGATATTGAAGATTTTTCAAGAATTTGTGGTTCTGCATAAATCAAATAAATATTTCTTCTAACTGATTTACAAATAAC